TAACACATTTCACGAGTGTGTCCAAGTTTGTGACAATAAGAACACTTGGGTCTAGATCTTCCAAAACGACCTCCTCCTCGTCTATGCTCCATAGTTTGAGATGCCCGAACATCCATTGTCTGGGATGCAAGAACAGAGGAATCAAGTATCTGTGATGAGATCACTGGTGGACTTGGTGCTGCAGCAAGGCGGAGTAATCGAGAGAATAATTCATCAACTGTCGGGACAGACGGACTAGCCAAAATCTGGTCGCGTACTGAATCAAGATCATTAGGAAGTCCAGCGAGGGTAAGAACGAGAAACATCTTCTGTCGCTGCTCTTGTTGTTTTTCCACACTAGCAGAAACTGGCATCAACTTCTCAAATTCCTCCATGACTGCCTGTACTTGACCCAAGTAAGTAGACATATCCAATTCCTGCTTCTTTAAGTTTGTCATCCGTGATATCACATCATAGAAGCGAGATATGTCATTAGTGTATAAGGTGCGTGCCTTTGCCCAAACCAAATAACATGTCTGGAATGGACGAAACAAGGGCATCAACTTGGAATCAATAGATCGCCACAAGATGCTACATAACTGAGCATCGATTTTTGCCCAAAGTGCTATTGCCTTTTCATCTCCATCGCTAGACTGTTTGATTAGATGATCTTGAACACCTTGACCTCTACACCATAACTCGACAGATGAAGCCCAAGCTAAGTAGTTTGAACCTCCCATTAAAGGTTCCGAGGTAATAATAGCACTAGAGCTTCCAGAACTCATGTTTCTAGACCCAAAAGCATCAAATCCCAAAGACATTGTTGCAAATTATTACCAAATAGGAGAAAGAATCAACTGTAATCCACTGAAACAGTGTACGGAAACACAGAAACAGAATACTGAAATACTGTAGCTGCCGGAATCTACTGTAGCTGTCGGAATAGTACTGTAGCTACCGGAAAAAACTCAAAGTTGTCGGAATGAAATGAAAACAGTAGGGGTAGGATCGGAATTACCAGGCGACCCAACTGTTCTGAAGGAAGATTTTCAAAAAATGGCCGGAAGTGGTCGTACGCGCCGGCGCGTGAGCTCACGCGCGTGAGCTTCTGGTGGCGCGTGAGGCTGCTTCTGCCGGAGTTGTTCACTGGGGTTTGGTCGCCGGACAGTGACGACTCTTGTGGTAGTGTTGGATTTTGCACAACACTGACAGAAATGAAGCAGATAGAAAACAACCTTAAAAAATACTGATTTCTCTTTCCCGGAATCGCTGGAATTTATGCACAGCGATAAGTCTCTCACAATTGCTCTGATACCATGTGAGAAGGCACGGGAGAAAATATGTTATTGATATATTGAATGAATGAATAATACTACACAAGAGGTCCTTATTTATAGCTATACTATACAAGGACATACTACTCCTCTACCAATGTGGGACAATACTACACTATATACATGCTGTAAATTAACAGAGATCACTGGTGGACTTGGTGCTGCAGCAAGGCGGAATAATCGAGAGAATAATTTATCAACTGTCGGGACAGTCGGACTAGCCAAAATCTGGTCGCGTACTGAATCAAGATCATTAGGAAGTCCAGCGAGGGTAAGAACGATAAACATTGTCTGTCGCTGCTCTTGTTGTTTTTCCACACTAGCAGAAACTGGCATCAACTTCTCAAATTTCTCCATGACTGCCTGTACTTGACCCAAGTAAGTAGACATATCTAATTCCTGCTTCTTTAAGTTTGTCATCCGCGATATCACATCATAGAAGCGAGATATGTCATTAGTGTATAAGGTGCATGCTTTGTCCAAACCAAATAACATGTCTGGAATGGACGAAACAAGGGCATCAACTTGGAATCAATAGATTGCCACAAGATGCTACATAACTGAGTATCGATTTTTGCCCTAAGTGCTATTGCCTTTTCATCTCCATCGCTAGACTGTTTGATTAGATGATCTTGAACACCTTGACCTCTACACCACAACTCGACAGATAAAGCCCAAGCTAAATAGTTTGAACCTCCCATTAAAGGTTCCGAGGTAATAATAACACTAGAGTTTCTAGAACTCATGTTTCTAGACCCAAAAGCATCAAATCCCAAAGATATTGTTGCAAATTATTACCAAATAAGAGAAAGAATCAACTGTAATCCACTGAAACAGTGTACGGAAACACAGAAACAGAATACTGAAATACTGTAGCTGCCGGAATCTACTGTAGCTGTCGGAATAGTACTGTAGCTGTCGGAAAAAACTCAAAGTTGTCGGAATGAAATGAAAACAGTAGGGGTAGGATCGGAATTACCAGGCGACCCAATTGTTCTGAAGGAAGATTTTCAAAAAATGGCCGGAAGTGGTCGTACGCGTCGGCGCGTGAGCTCACGCGCGTGAGCTTCTAGTGGCGCGTGGAGGCGCGTGAGGTGGCTGCTGCCGGAGCTTTTCACTGGGGTTTGGTCGCCGGACAGTGACGCGTGGTAGTGTTGGATTTTGCATAACACTGACAGAGATGAAGCAGATAGAAAACAGCCTTAAAAAAGTACTGATTTCTCTTTCCCGGAATCGCTGGAATTCATGCACAGCGATAAGTCTCTCACAATTGCTCTGATACTATGTGAGAAGGCACGGGAGAAAATATGTTATTGATATTGGATGAACAATACAATACAAGAGGTCCTTATTTATAGTTATACTATACAAGTACATACTACTCTTCTACCAATGTGGGACAATACTACACTATATACATGCTGTAAAACTAACAGATCCCAAGAGATATCCTTTGAAGAAGGTCCTAATCAGTCCACTTTTGGACCATTTTGGCACCTAAAATATGTCCAAACTTGCAGCCCAATTAGTCCTACATGAAGTCACGTTTTTTATAATATAAAAAGGACTTACTTGATGTCAAAGAAGGTTACAATAGTCGTGCTAGAAGTTGAGTGCAAGTTGGTGCCAAGTTCCCTTGCAAATTTCCTTCAAGATTTTCAAGATTTTCAAGATTTTCAAGATTTCCAAGATTTCCAAGATTCTATCCAAGATTCTATCCAAGATTGGTTTTGGACTTTCAAGATCGTATCCTAAACTAATCGCCTTTGGTAGAGAATTAAAAACAAGAGATAGATTGTGAAACCCGACCCTTTAGAATAACAAGAAAAACAATAAGCCTAAACTTATCATCTTTCTTGAATACCTAGAAGTGATCTAAGATTTCGAAAAGGGTTTAATCTTACCACCTTAAGTTGATTCTTGAAGGTTGAAGAATAAATCCAAGAGTAGCCACACACAAGAGTGCAAGAAAATTCTCACATTTTTTGTTGATATTGTTCATCATAATCTGCCCTAAAAACAAAGAAGACATCCCTTTATATAGAGAGGGAGTTACGAAATTCTACCACAAAAACAAAGAAAGAAAGTCCTAACTACTTTGGACAAAAAGTCGAACTACCTTAGGATAGGATCTTGAAAGTCCAAAACCAATCTTGGAAATCTTAGAAATCTCGGAAAGAAAGAAAGCCCTAACTACTTTGGACAAAAAGTCTAAGTACCTTAAGGATAGGATCTTGAAAGTCCAAAACCAATCTTGGATAGAATCTTGGAAATCTTGAAAATCTTGAAAATCTTGAAGGAAATTTGCAAGCAACTTGGCACCAACTTGCACTCAACTTCTAGCACGACTATTGTATCCTTCTTTGACATAAAGCAAGTCCTTTTTATATTATAAAAAATATGACTTCATGTAGGACTAATTGGGCTGCAAGTTTGGATACATTTTAGGTGCCAAAATGGTCCAAAAGTGGACTGATTAGGACCTTCTTCATAGGATATCTCTTGGGATCCAATACTCCTCTTCTTGGACATAAATTTGGGCTATAAATCAATTGTAACACCTAGCCAATTCACATCCTTTATCCTTGAGATCTTCTTCCCAATTAACAACTTCTTTATTTGCACTTGAAGTATAATGACCTTGTTTTGCAACTCTTTAACTTGACATCTTGTTAAAGGCCCTTTTTGATATTCCAAAACTTCATCCTTGTCCTTGAATATAGTTGAGCTTCCTAGGATGCTATCAGAAGCGCTAATACAAAGAGGATGACCTGGAAGTCTTGTTCTTGTCTTTAAAGAAATTGTGCGTAGTTGTCCTCGGCTAGCTTGAGATATTATCTATTTTTTTCTTTAGACTGCTTCTGCTTTTATTGAAGTGTTGGGTATGGGGGATCATTGCATTGATGTAGTCTAAGATTTACAGCATTTTTGGTTGAAACGAGCTTTGCTTGAGCTCAGATTCGACTATTCTGTGGTAGTTGCACCTATCTGTTGCTACTCATTAAAATTGAAACATTAGGACTGATAGGGAAATAATAAGATTTACAGTTGAGATTAGAATTATCCGAGATGATAGCACCAGATAATTGAAACGGACTGTTACCGAAAAGACAGATTATCAAGCTTTACAATAGGTTATGGTTTCCTGGGAGTGAGCAGCAGTTGTCTCTAATTAAGTCGCTTCTTCTGTGGTTCGTCCAGTCTGCTCCTGGTTTAAACCTCTAGTTATCGTGATTTAATTTATGCTTCACTTCAAGGGTTGTCAAGTGACGATGATGGAAGGACATATATTATGACAGATATTGAGGTCTTACATAAAGAAAGGTGGGAAGTGGTTTCATGTCAAAATGTGGTCCTTGTTGAAGCCATGTTGGAAAGTAAAAGTTGAATCATGTTTTGCCATCTGAGATCCATAATTTGGAGGCAGTTTCACCAGTTGCTGTGAGACTGAAGAAATTATGCTGTCTGCTGATTAATTTTGTATTTCATTTTGCATAAGTCCAGAGGTTATATATGTCACAGGAGACTATTTTTCTGCAAATGCATTACTCGTCTAATTCACCTTGCTAGCTTGGCTGTTAGAAACGGTCAGGTTTCAGTTCCTAATCATTGCTTAGGCAATTAGTGTTCACATCTGGTTGTGATGATTCATCTTAAGTTTTAATTTGTCTACGAATCTCCTTGCAGGCCGGAGATGGAAGAGTCCATGTTCCTGTGCACACCCCAAATGGTGGTGCTACATCCTCTGCAGGACCCATTTCTTCAACTGTGAGTTCTTAATATGGTGCATCTTACTGTCTCTTTGCTACTTGCGATTGGCCAGCCAGAATTCACTTCTGAAACATTGTTTATCTGGTATAGGCTACAGCCCGTTCACAGAATCAAACCGTGGTCGTTCAGAACCCTATGTCTTTAGATGAAAGTGGCAAGTTGGTGTGTTTCTTTGATTATGACCTCTGTTTATTCATCTTTTACTGCTCACGTCTGATTCATTTTTTCTTGTGCTTCATTTGAGGTAAGTATTTCTGATAATCATTTTCACATTTGCTAGGTGAGCAATGTCGTTGTTGGTGTGACGACTACGACTTAGGATTATCTATGGAATGCAATAGCAGAAGGATTAAGATTCCTATGTATGTGAAGTGCACTAGTTGAAGGGAGTAAGGTTTTTGTTTGCTTCCATTGGAATGATGAGTACAAAGGTGGTGCTATATAGATATGGTAATATTTAGAGCTAGTATCAAAGCATTTCTAGATTGAAGAACTGTACCTGATGTCGGACCATTTGTGATAACAATCACAAAGTGATTGGAAGATTTAGGCTTCAGGGATGTGTGATTTTTGGAGTCGGTAATTGTTGTGAAATTAGATTCTGTGGTATGAATACGCCCGATGATTCAAAGTACAGAATGTTGATATGTACCATTTGTCCTCTTGTTAATAAAATTGAATCAGCTTGGTTTATATGATCATGACCTTACTGCTCTTAGGCGAGCTTTTGAAAATAAAATTTGTCTCGGAGGTACTGGGTAACTCTACCCACCAACGCTTATGCAGTTGGGAATAAATTATCTAGTTTTGTTTGCCTCTACTTTGATTCAGACCGTCTGATAAAGGTTTTTATTTAGCTTCATTAGGCTACATCCTTGAGTGCTTGGAATGATGTTATTTTTACTTCGTTTCTTTCACTTCTGTTTTTCTTTTTTTCATGTCCTTTGTCCACATAATTGACGTCCGTGCTTAGTTATTGTTGATGTATTAACCCATCCTTTTTCTTTGTCTGAGCATTTCTTTAGCAACTTCACACTTTAATAGTACTTTTGCGCATAAGGCCTCACTAGACTTGAGTGATTTTCTGTAACTTATGCCTTATAAAAAGGAGTATATATTAGTGGAAGCACAGACTAGTAAAGCAAAAGAAGATTACCCATGACATATATATAGTAAAAGAAACAGCTAGCATACTTGATTCTATCTTTTATCAACGAAAGAAACATTACAGAACACTTAGTGTGTAATTAATCTATGCTTAATTTTGAAAAAGTAGGACAATAAACAGCTGCTAATTAATAAAGTATTAATAAAAACAACATCATACCACGTGGATAATTCAAAACATATTTTCTAGGATATATGTTGAATAATAAAATGTTGTTAATTTCCTGAAAAACATGTCTAGAAGCGGGACTGCATCAGAATGGTTGTGTTTCGATCAATTTGGAAAGCCTTGTCAAGAATATCAACAGGAATAGCAGGATTCGAACCAAAAACTGAAGTTGCAACAGAAATAAGTCCAGGATTTTGGCTGCTAAGAGCTGCAACTGCAACTGCATTAGTGTCTCTTATATTTTTCTGGAAATGGATGAGACCCACTTGAAACACGAAAACATCACCTACTTCAAGTGTTTTAGTTATAAGGCGATTCTCGGGACTGGAGGTCACAAATCCTACTTCAAGACAACCCTCCAGGACTACCAATATTTCAGAAGCACGAGGGTGAGTGTGGAGGGTTCACTCTATTTGGTGCAAAATCTAAACGCACCATAGAAATGCCAAGAGTGTTGAGTCCTGGAACTTGAGCAACATTAACTGGAGTCGAACGGAATCCAAGTCATTTGATGTGTTCCCTGCTAAGTGCAGTCCACTGAAATAGAAGTCATCTGCTTGTACTAGCTCCGGATCCTTGCAAGCCATGCCATTGAGAACCACTGCCATGATTATACAAGCAGCAGTGCAAAGTTATTCATTGGGCACTAAATTTCTCACCTAGGCAATCACCTTTTTAAGCTGGGTGTTAGTATACTTGATTCAACATGTTAAAATTAATACATTGATAGTGCAAAATTTTTACTATCAGTATATATTTAAATCCTTTTAAGTTTTGAATATTCTCTTTAACAGAAAAGCAATACAAGGAAGAATATAGGAAACCATACCTGAGCTTGAGGAGTCAGTTGCACAAAAATCTTGGAGTGGACTATGATCAGATGCTAAAGCAACTAAAAAAGTTATAAAGACAAGGAGCCCTAATACAAGAAACTTTGAAGCCATTTCAACGTAAATTTCTTTTACTTAGAGAGAATTAATGAATTGCTTATCGGAACAAGCTTTCTTTTTTGGTTGCAGATGAAAGCTTTCGCTAAGGACTGCATTTATATGTAGTCATGGAGAAAGAGAAAGTTTACATTGCTTTGTGCCGTCCAGAACCTTAACACACGAGTCGGAGAGAGAGTCTATTGATGCTCATTGTTAACGATAAAACGTGTGGAAATAGTAAAATGACATTCTTCTTTTGTCAGACTCCAGATGGAGCCTAACCAGTGTGCAAAACGAAACGATCACTAAAATATTGAATATCTATTTCTAATTTTTACAGGGATGGAACTTTATCTATGTTTCATCAAGGCCGGCTCAAACGTACGTAACGACTCGATCGGTCATTCTGACCATTTGTATTCCGTTCGGGTGTTTGAGGCCATGAATAACTTCAAATGATATAGTATGACTTGTGTGAATCGTCGATTTTAGTTTTTAGGTCATTCGGGATTGATTTGGAAGAATGATTCTCAACTAAGAAGCTTTAAGTTGGAAGAGTTGACCAAGTTTGACTTTTGTGTATTTGGACTCAGATCGGAGTTTTGATGGTTCCGTTAGGTCCGAATGGTAATTTTGGACTTGTGTGTATGCTCGGATTTGCATTTGGATGTTTTTAGAAGGTTTTGACGCTAATTGGCGAAAGTTGGTAATTTGAATGCTTGGAAGGTTTACAAGTTTGACAGAGAGTTGACTTTGATGATATCGGGTACAGATTGTTGTTCCGGATGTTGGAATAGGTTCGTTATGTCATTTGGAACTTGTGTTCAAAATTTGGGTTCATTCCGGATTGGTTAGGCTTGAATTGGACGCTTTGGTCGAAGTTTGAAGTTTATGAACTTAAGAGATTGATCTTGATCGACGATTCGTGGTTTTGATAATATTATGTATGATTTGAAGCCTCGAGTAGGTCCGTATTAAGTTTTGGGACTTGTTGGTATGTTCGGACGGGGTCCCTAGAGGCTCGGTGAGTTTCGGGGTGGTTTCGGATCATTTCTAGGCCCTTTTTAGCTGCTGGTTTTTAGCTACAAGGGTGCAAATCGCGATTGCGGACCTTTGGGTCGGGTTCGCGAAGAGCAAGTTGTTGTTTGAGCCTTGTGAATCGCGATTGCGGAAGCCATTCCTGCTACCGCGTAGAAGAATTCTGCTGTCACCAGGCTGATTTTGGAAACTCATATCTAGCAATCTATAAGGAATTTTGAGGTGATAAAAAATAAAAGTTGTAGCTCTTTGTTTCTAATTTCTATAAAAATCAAACCGTTTATCATTTGGAGTTTTGTACAAAAAATTATAGCCGTTATACTATAGGCTATCTCGAAAGAGTTTAGGAAGATAATGGAATTTATTCATCATGATCGTTGGGAAATGGCTGTGATCGCGAAGGGTAAAAACTGTGCTGGACAGTTTTGCAATCGTGATCGCGTGGTTTGAAATCATGTTCGCGTAGAAGGACCACTGGAAGTGCATTAAAACATCTAATTTCGGGATTTTGAGTTTATTTTATCATATTTTGAGTTATGGAGCTAGGATTTGGGCGATTTTGGAGGCGATTTTCACCACATGAATTGGGGTAAGTGTTTCTACTCGATTTTGATTATATTTTGTGATTCCATCCTTGATTTTGGCATTTGATTGATAATTTCACTGATAAATTGAGGGTTTTGTCTAAATTTTTTTAAAGTGAATTTTTGAGTTTTGAACATCAATTCAGAGTCGGATTTGAGTGAAATTAGTATGGTTGGACTCGTAATTATGGGTTGTTGGATTTTGTGAGTTTTGTCGGGTTCCGAGGTGCGGGCCCGGAGTTGATGTTTTGGTTGACTTTGAGTATTTGGTTAAAAGATTCGACCTTTTTTGATTGGGTTTATTTCCTAAGGCATTATTTGATGTTTTTGGGTTCTTTTGGCTAGTTTTGAGCCGTTTGGAGGATGTTTCGCACGTGATAGCGTTTCTAGAGTATTGTTTGGCTTGCTCGATACTGGATTTGGCTTGTTCGAGGTAAGTAACATTTCTAAACTTGGATTTAAGGGTAATTATCCTTGTGAACCATGTTATTTGTGATGTGTTGAGGTGACACACATGCTAGGTGATGGGTGTGTGGACTTGCACCAGGTTAATGATGATTCAAGTTAAGTTTTAGACTAGTACCGAAATTGTTCTGCTACCATATCCTGTTATATCTGTAATTTTCCCTACTTGTTTGATTCTTTGAGCTGCTATTCATGTTAGAAATCATATTTAGGCTATGCTTATTCGATTGAGACCTAATGAATCTATTTCTGTTCTCAGTTCTCTGATTTAACCGCAATTATACACTCAGTCATGGTTCTTCATTTGCATATCATATCTCAGTCTTTGTTGTGGATCGGGCTGCACACCGCAGCATGTCATATTGGCTTTTGATAAGCGATTGGGAAGGATCCGCCTCTCCGGAGTCTCACATACCAGTAGTGAGTGCAGGCACTGTGATATATACACGTGATTTAGTGAAGAGTTTATGAGCCATGCACCTAATACAGTGCTGAGTGGTTGTGTGTGTGATGAAGTGGGCAATTAAGACAAACAACTTGAGTATATTGAGAGTGATAGTACCTGGGGATATCACCGTGAAATCATTCATATGACACGCATACTTGGCATGTAGGCATAGAGATGCACTTTCCTCATGCTAGATGGTAATGTGACATTTATGATTTGACATGTAAGCATAGAGATGTATATTCCTCATGCTAGGCGGTATATGATAATTGATGACTTGACATGCATATTGACATGTATGCATAGAGATTTACTTTCCGCATGCTAATTGATAAACGAAAAGTCTTATCTGATGTTGTAAATTGGAAAACACAGTTCTTTTGATAAACTCATGTTTAATTGATTTCATCGGTAAGATTTAGACTTGGACTATTATACTTGAAAGGCATGTCTACTTTTCCGTATCTATGAACGAGATGAGCCTTACATCTCTTGAGTTATATACCCTTACTTTCTTCACTATACTGTTATGAATTGTTATTGGTTATTGGTGATGTGAATTGACCTTCTTCTAAGCTCGTCACTTCTTTCAATCCGAGGTTAGATATGTTACTTATTAAGTACATGGGGTCGGTTTTACTTATACTACACTTCTGCACCTTGCGTGCAGATCTTGGGACTGATGTAGTTATGTATGGCGGGAGCTGGCTTTGAAGATGTACCTGCGTTCCGGTTGCAGCTGCCACTTGTCCTTGGTAGCTTTAGATTTGTAAATCTGTTTATGTATATTTCGAACATATGATGTATTTACTTCGTACCAGCTTTGTAAACTCTAAGTCTTAGAAGCTTATGATTTGTAATATCAATCCTTGAGATTTGTATAGAAAGTTCAATTATTTTA